GTGACCTAGATAGAACAGTGCCTGGTGCTATACATATATTCTGCACACAATGCAGGGCAGAGGAAAAAGTTTCAGCTTATCTTTCAATTGCAGGATGTCTTTTAAAGTGTTTCATTACCTTAAAAACACGAGAAATTGTTTTTTTTTTGTAAAGGCTAACGTGGAAAGTGAAAACATTGGAAACAAGTGCATGTTGTTTTTACCCTTTTCAGACTTAAAAAAGCAGTATCTTTATCTTTTTGGCATGGTTGTGTGGCAGCTGGCACTGCTGCCTCCCAGTTCTTGGGTCCCGGGTTCGAGACTGGCCTAGCTGCACCTTCTGTATGGAGTTTGCAGGGACTGGGTGCTTTTTCCTGGGTGACCTGGTTTCCTTCCCCAACAGTATAAAGACAAGCTGACTGGTTAAGGTTAACCAGTGTCCCCTGTGCGTGCGTGGTGCGTGTTTGTGTGTGGCGTGTGTCCCTGTGATGGACAGGTATCCCATCTCCAGTGTCTCCCACATTCCCAGTACGTGTGGCAACTGCTTCAGTGCACGTTCAACAGATCTGGGAACACCACAGAGAGATCCCAGTGAGCAGGACAGGAAAACACCACATGGACAGAGATAGAACCTGGAACAAAAACCTTGTGATCTGGGAGCTGGGCTGCACCTTTGACCCGCAAGAGACTAAAATCAACAAGCTCAGTTCCCCCTCCTAATTCTCAGCTACCCCGTCCCAGTGTGAATACCCAGCTCGCCGGAGGCACAGAGGTGTGGCTCTTAGTCCCACTGCCTCACAGCTTCCCAGTCCTGGGTTCGATTCGGGACTGTGGCACCCTCTGTGTGGAGTCTGCGTGTTCCTCCTGTGTGCCTGAGGGTTTTCTCCGGGTGCTCCAGTCTCCTCCCGTCTTCCCAAACTGTGCTGACTGGGCGAACCGGTCTCTCAAAACTCTGCTTGCGTGTGCGTGTACCCCACAATGGACTGGTGTGTCACCCCAAACCCCAGCAACCCCTTCAGGGGTGTCCAGGCCTGGTCTCGGGGTGCCAGTGCGTAACCAGGGGTAACCGCAGCTGAAGTCTCGCATGATGAGACATCAAAGACAGAGCAAACCCCCCGCGTGAGGGTCTTGATCTCTCCCCCTGCTGGACACGTTTGCCCTGTTTTTGCGGGGATCCTCCCGGATGGCCTGTTGGGGTCACCAGAGATCTCCAGACCGCCCCTTGTTAACGCCCCCATCCCCCCTCCTCTGAAAGCGACACAGTTTTCAGTCGCCGGAGCGGGCCAGGGGTTTACCGCCTGACTGGCGATTCTGGCAGGTGTCAAGCCGAAGGCCGAGGGCCCGGCGGGCCCTGCCCCCAGCGCGGCGGAGCGCGACCCGCCCCCTGCAGTTCCTGTCACACGGGGGGAGAGGAGAGCGTGTGGGCGAGAGCCGGCAGGGTGCCACAGCAGCAGCCACAGTGGCCTCTCTCTCGCAAAGCGAACCTCCCCGCCCACAGCCCGCCCCCCCCTCACCAGCGCCGCACAAACACAGCGCAGTGCGGACAGACGGCACCACGGAGCAGGCTTCTGTCACCTCAGGGCCACAGCACCTGCGGGCCCAGGCCTGTGGCTGACGCAGATCCTTGACGTTCTGATCTGAAAGAACATCCATCCCTCCGTCCCCCTGCAGGTCCAGGGTCGCGGGGTGTAAGAACACACGAATAAATGAGAAGAGGCCCGATTTACGGTAACTAATTGATCCCGGGCTTCTTGGAGAGAACCAGGGTATCGGCCTCAACAACATGGCCGGGCAGCTTGTTCTACTCTCCCACCACCCTCTGTGCACAGTAGTGCCTCCTGTCCTGACTCGGCTGTGTCTTGAGAGAAGCCAGGGTATCGGTTTCCGCAACATGGCTGGGCAGCTCGTTCCCCACCCCCACTGCTCTCTGTGTAAAGAAGTGCCTCCTGTTCTCGGTTTCCAATGCTTTTTCCACGCCGTGTCTGTCAGCTCGTTGCTCTGGTTCGTGTTCCCAGAAGACTCGTTGTGTCATGGTCTTCGAGGGTTTAGATACCGGTATCAGGTCCCCTCATCATCTTCTCTGTCCGGGACCGAAGAGACTCAGCTCCTCCAGCCTGGCAGTAAACACTCAGTGGCTGACACGTTACTGGTTCCGAGCCAGTTCCATCCCACGATCCTTTTGGGAGAACGGGTCAGGACTGTCGGGGCTGCGAATGTTCATTTTCCTGTGGAAAACCCATCCTGGTCCTGCGCAGGCACCTCTGACAACACGAGAGAGACGGCTCAACGCTGTATTCGTGGGGGGGGCATCCTAATACATTGGGCCAGTGAGTGTTGGAGGTCAGTAAAGACGGAGTGAGCTCAAGCTCAGTGTTTGGTTTTTGTGCTTCTCACGAAGTGTGGGTGTCAGATGTGTAGCTCTTCCTGAGAGCACTGGACCGCTGACATATTTTGCACATTTAGCTACTTGTAGGCGTCGGGCAGCATTTCTGAGATTCCTGACATTTGCCCGGTCAATCCGGCTGCTTTTCCATTGACTGGACTGGCTTTCTCTAATGCCGCTGTCCTGCTGGAGCTGTCACAGTACAAACGGCTCATTGTGCCTCGTTATAGACCTGCTCTGAACTCGTTATAACCCATCTCATTCTGGCCCTGCCAGAAATCCTGGAAAATAAAAATAAATT